ACCGAATAAGTGTTGTGTCGTCGGGCTTATATCGTTTTGAAGTACAAGTAGACTATAAATTTATTGAAATTGGAGCTTAAATGAACATGAATTTGACCCCAAGGATGTAGGTTTTAATATCAAGTACTCAATAATTTGACTTAATAAACATTAAAGCTAGCCGACAAATGAATGAACCAAGCCTGACTAGCTTTGTTTAATTAGAGTCGGTACGTGCAGCACACAAACTCATTAAAAAGAGCGTGAATGATCTTACCATCTTTATAATATCGACGATCTTACTTTCTCAACAAAAAAAAAAAAAAAAAAAAAATCATATAGACCACCCGAAACATTAATATTTATGAATTAAGCACCCATGTGATTTTTTTGAACTACAAAACCGATTTATTTATACGTGCTACAATATAACTATTGAGAATTTGATAAAAATATAAAAAAAAATGGGTTGGGGTTTTGCAATGAATTTTGACATTTGAGTGAGAATTTGAAAAATGGATGAAAGCGGGCGGTTGATTTGTAAATAGTAAGTTTCAGGTGGTCTGTATGTAATTGCCCCATAAAATTAATGCTTTAAAATATAAGCAAATTCAAAAGTATTGCCTACAGAAATGACGAACTAGTAGTTAAGTCAAATCAAGTAAAAGAGATCTAATAGTGAGTGACAAGATAATATGCGTTAAGTCAAATCAAGTAAAAGAGATCTAATAGTGACAAGATAATATGTATCATGCATGAACTTAATCCTGATTTACAACTTGAAAAACTTGATTAAACCAACAAGAAGATGAAAATACTCCATTCAGCATAAAATGTGATTCTTACAAAACTTAGCATCAGACTATTTTTTTAGAATTAGCAACTAATGTTATACAACAAATCGATCTGATTGTTCTTCATACTAGAATGGACTCTAATAGTAAGATTTCCGGAATCCTAAACCAATTAAATATATAAAAAGCTAAATTGTGACAATTTTAACTGGACTGCACAAGGATTCAAAGAATTTCAAATAATTTCTAAGTCGAGAATACTTACAAATCCAACCCTGCATGAAGAGGAGACTTGTTCATTAGTGTGCACACATGCAGTCAGGCATTGGAAACATGTACAAGGATGCATTCGGCTTCCGCATCTCAACACCCTTCGCATCGCTATGATGGAGAATTTCCAGCATGTTCCGCTTGAACTTGTCCCATCTGAAAATTAGAAAAATATGAGGACCAAAAAGAGAGATTACAGCTTATCAAAGGAAACCTCAAACGATTTTCTAAATTGAAAGCATCAGCAATAAAATTGTTGAGACAATTTCAGAGCAATTAGAGGTAAAACAAGCAGTTTAAAATTATCATTGTATTAGGGGAATATACATTTTGGGATAGCATGCATTTATCAGGATAAAGTGACAATTATTCTCTTCATTATTTTCTTTCTATTGTATTCATACTATACGCCTAAAAATAGGCTTCTCTGTTTAGTGAATAAGATAATCTAATTTTCTCCCCTTAACCATCAGAAACCATGTAAGCCACAATTTGTGGCATACGTGTTACCTACTTATGCACCAAAAAGCAAAACTGAATCAACTAAATGAGGCATCAATCTAACAAGATTGTGGCAATGCTAATTCTACAACAATTCTAAAATAATCCAAAAATGTTATTTAATCTGAGAATTAAGTAATTGCAGACTAAACCTTTTATTGTGCCAAACCTTATTCCTCGAATTACTTTTTCAGACCCGTTTCATAGGATTACATTGATCAAAGTATGATGGGGCAGGGCGCACATGGCATGTATATTTTTCTCCATTAACCATATTACTTTTGTCTTTGTAAGACATCCAATTTCACAGGAACAATTTTTTTTAAAAAAAGATAGATATGCATTGCCAACAAATAGTTAAAAAACTAACTTTTTTTTTTATTGAAATTTACCTGATATTGGGGTTTTCCAAAGACAAAACTAATCGCCTCTTATCAGGTTTAATGGTCTTGGAATGGCCTCCATAAAGAAACCGCCGGTTTCCAATCAAGAAATGGGGAAAGTTGCCTCCTTGAGTAGTCACAAATACTTCACTTTGAGCACAGATAGTGTAGTCTAGTGCAGCCAATCGTGACGAGTAGCCCTGCATAGAGCACGAAACAAAAACATGGGATCAGTTTTGTTTTTTGTTTTTTATTTTCTTTTACATTTTTATAATGTATTTTTTACGTGTTTTTTTATTTTACTTTTAAAAATAAACCAATTATTTTTTTTATGACACTCAAAAAACTTTTAGATTTTTTTTAGTGTTTTCAAAAACAACCATGCTTTATCTTAATATA